CTTTAAGATGAAATGATGTGACCTTGATGAGCGTACAGTGATTGGGATTTGGGAACCCACAGATCTGAATTAATTAGTATCATTGTAAGAAGAATCCTTTGTCAACGACAGTAACAGTGAGTTCTTGTCATAAGACATGAGTAGGAGTTGGTGGATCCTAAAGAAAAGTATGACGACCCTTTTTGATTTGTTCTGCTTTTTGAACTATTATTTGACTAATTTACCCACTAATCTCATTTTTTCCATACTCAAGTTGATTACTTTCGCCTATTCTTGACATCCATCAAAAATCATTCGTATATGCTATCCGGGAAATAGGCTATTCATGCGATGTGACCACCCAAAGAAAATCCGGTGCAATACCAACAAAATTTGAGGATAAGAAAAGATGCAAAACACCCATTAGAAGTAAAAGTGGATATCAAACAATCTAAGTCTATTTAAAGCCACAATCAATTGAAGCAAGTGAACCGTGGTCTAGTGGGATTTCAATATATTCAAAGTCAGTAGTTCAAATCTAGATGGAAAGGAGTTAATGTCTAGTAAGCTACTATTGACTAAGTCAATGTCTGAAATCTCTAGTTGTACCATGTGCTTTTTTAATTTTAGTTGTACTACAATTTTTACAGTTGTACCAGGTAATACCCATAGTTGTACAGGCCATTCATGCGATGTGATGTGACCACCCAAGAAAAGAAAAAGGCTTTTCAAGAGCAAAAGTAAGTTATAGCTTCTAGGAGGTGAAAATTTGGTGCAACACCAACAAAATATGAGGATAAGAAAAGATGCAAAACACCCATTAGCCGCAAACGTGGATGTCAACAATCTAACCACAATCAATCGAACCAAATAAACCGTGGTCTAGTGGGATTTCAGTATACTCAAAGTCACTAATCTTATATAATATAGTAAGGTTTCTCAAAGTTGAAGTGATGAGAGACTGTCATGTGTCACATTCTTTTGATATTTGTTTTTCAATTTATTTATTGAAGAAGAAAAGGAAAATTATGTGTCATTTCTTTCATAACTTTGACAATTAATTCCAACAATTTTTAATGGCTAATTTCTAACGTAAATTAATTTCAACAAGTTACAATTCAATATCTTGTGTACATTTATATAATTCTTATAAAAATTTATGTATAGAAAATATATATTTTTATTTATCAAATTTAACAATATACTATTTAAAAACGTTTAAAACTTGGAACAATTGCAACAATGCCACTTTCGGATTGTCCATTTGCATAAATGCCACTAGGGGTTATCCATTTGCAAAAATACCACT